TTTTTCCAGCACTTCCCACAGATGCTTGAATGGACTGAGGTCTGGAGAATTTGGAGGCCAAGTCAACACTTCGAACTTGTGTTCCTCAAACCATTCTTGAATTCATCAGACCAGGCCACCTTCTTTCATTGCTCCGTGGTAAAGTTCTTTCGCTCACATGCCCTTTAAAGTGCTTTTGGCTGTGGACACGGGTCAGCATGGGCACCCTGACCAGTCTTCAGCCACACAGCCCCCATACACAACAATCTGCGATTCTCTGTGTGTTCTGACACCTTTCTGTCAGAACCAGCATTAACCTTTTCAGCTGTTTGAGTTATTGAAGCTCTTCTATTGGATCGGACTACACAGTACAGCCTTCATTCCCCACGTCCGTCAATGAGCCTTGGTCGCCCATTACCCTGTCGCGGTTCCCTGTTGTTTCTTCCTTGGACCACCTTTGGTCAGTCCTGATGACTGCAGACTGGGAACCTCCTACATGAACTTCAGTTTTGGAGTTGTTCTGACCCGTTCGTCTAGCTATTTACCCTTGTCAAAGTTTCTCAAAACCTTACGCTTGCCCATTTTTTTTTCTGCTCCCAACACAACTTCAGGGACAACATGTTCACTTGCTGCCTAATATATCCCACCTACGTTCAGCTGCCATTCTAATGAGATAATCAATGCTATCTGTCAGTGGTGAGAAATTTGTGACTGGTATTTTTCTAAAATACTTCAATAAAAACAAAAACTGCATTATGGTCACTAATGGTGCTGATGATCATAGGAGATAATAATATTGCAAACAATACAGGGGTTCAGTCATCTGCATGAAAATGTTTCTATGCCCCCAATAATGTAAGGAACGTGTAGCAGACGTAGAGTACTCATAGGTTTTCATCATTGCAGTTGCATTTAAAGTGTTACTAAACCCAGGACCCTGCATTCACTATATCTGGTCTCCCCGGACCCTGCATTCACTATATCCGGTCTCCCCGGACCCTGCATTCACTATATCTGGTCTCCCCGGACCCTGCATTCACTATATCCGGTCTCCCCGGACCCTGCATTCACTATATCCGGTCTCCCTGGACCCTGCATTCACTATATCCGTCTCCTCGGACCCTGCATTCACTATATCTGGTCTCCCCGGACCCTGCATTCACTATATCCGGTCTCCTCGGACCCGCATTCACTATATCTGGTCTCCCCAGACCCTGCATTCACTGTATCCGCTCTCCCCGGACCTGCATTCACTATATCGGTCTCCCTGGACCCTGCATTCACTGTATCTGGTCCCCCAGACCCTGCATTCACTGTATCCGCTCTCCCCGGACCCTGCATTCACTATATTTGGTCTCCCCGGACCCCCGCATTCACTATATCTGGTCTCCCTGGACCCTGCATTCACTGTATCTGGTCTCCCCGGACCCTGCATTCACTGTATCCGCTCTCCCCGGACCCTGCATTTACTATATTTGGTCTCCCCGGACCCTGCATTCACTGTATCTGGTCTCCCCGGACCTGCATTCACTGTATCCGCTCTCCCCGGACCCTGCATTTACTATATTTGGTCTCCCCGGACCCTGCATTCACTGTATCTGGTCTCCCCGGACCTGCATTCACTATATCTGGTCTCCCCGGACCCTGCATTCACTATATCTGGTCTCCTCGGACCCCGCATTCACTATATCTGGTCTCCCTGGACCCTGCATTCACTGTATCTGGTCTCCCCAGACCCTGCATTCACTGTATCCGCTCTCCCCGGACCCTGCATTCACTATATCCGGTCTCCCTGGACCCTGCATTCACTGTATCTGTTCTCCCCAGACCCTGCATTCACTGTATCCGCTCTCCCGGACCCTGCATTCACTATATTTGGTCTCCCCGTACCTGCATTCACTGTATCCGCTCTCCCCGGACCCTGCATTCACTATATTTGGTCTCCCCGGACCCCGCATTCACTATATCTGGTCTCCCTGGACCCTGCATTCACTGTATCTGGTCTCCCCGGACCCTGCATTCACTGTATCCGCTCTCCCCGGACCCTGCATTTACTATATTTGGTCTCCCCGGACCCTGCATTCACTGTATCTGGTCTCCCGGACCTGCATTCACTGTATCCGCTCTCCCCGGACCCTGCATTTACTATATTTGGTCTCCCCGGACCCTGCATTCACTGTATCTGGTCTCCCCGGACCTGCATTCACTATATCTGGTCTCCCCGGACCCTGCATTCACTATATCTGGTCTCCTCGGACCCCGCATTCACTATATCTGGTCTCCCTGGACCCTGCATTCACTGTATCTGGTCTCCCCAGACCCTGCATTCACTGTATCCGCTCTACCCGGACCCTGCATTCACTATATCCGGTCTCCCTGGACCCTGCATTCACTGTATCTGTTCTCCCCAGACCCTGCATTCACTGTATCCGCTCTCCCCGGACCCTGCATTCACTATATTTGGTCTCCCCGTACCCCGCATTCACTATATCTGGTCTCCCCGGACCCTGCATTCACTGTATCGCTCTCCCCGGACCCTGCATTTACTATATTTGGTCTCCCGGACCCTGCATTCACTGTATCTGGTCTCCCCGGACCCTGCATTCACTGTATCCGCTCTCCCCGGACCCTGCATTTACTATATTTGGTCTCCCGGACCCTGCATTCACTGTATCTGGTCTCCCCGGACCTGCATTCACTGTATCGCTCTCCCGGACCCCGCATTCACTATATCTGGTCTCCCCGGACCCTGCATTCACTGTATCTGGTCTCCCCAGACCCTGCATTCACTGTATCCGCTCTCCCCGGACCCTGCATTCACTATATTTGGTCTCCCCGGACCCCGCATTCACTATATCTGGTCTCCCTGGACCCTGCATTCACTGTATCTGGTCTCCCCGGACCCTGCATTCACTGTATCCGCTCTCCCCGGACCCTGCATTCACTATATCCGGTCTCCCCGGACCCTGCATTCACTATATCCGGTCTCCTCGGACCCTGCATTCACTATATCTGGTCTCCCCGGACCCTGCATTCACTATATCTGGTCTCCTCGGACCCCGCATTCACTATATCTGGTCTCCCTGGACCCTGCATTCACTGTATCTGGTCTCCCCGGACCTGCATTCACTGTATCCGCTCTCCCCGGACCCTGCATTCACTATATTTGGTCTCCCCGGACCCTGCATTCACTATATCCGGTCTCCTCGGACCCTGCATTCACTATATCTGGTCTCCCTGAACCCTGCATTCACTATATCTGGTCTCCTCGGACCCTGCATTCACTATATCCGCTCTCCCCGGACCCTGCATTCACTATATCTGGTCTCCCCAAACCCTGCATTCACTATATCTGGTGTCCCCGGACCCTGCATTCACTATATCTGGTCTCCAGGACCCTGCATTCACTATATCCGGTCTCCCCGGACCCTGCATTCACTATATCCGGTCTCCCCGGACCCTGCATTCATTATATCTGGTGTCCCGGACCCTACATTTACTATATCTGGTCTCCCCAAACCCTGCATTCACTATATCTGGTGTCCCCAAACCCTGCATTCACTATATCTGGTGTCCCCGGACCCTGCATTCACTATATCTGGTCTCCAGGACCCTGCATTCACTATATCGGTCTCCCCGGACCCTGCATTCACTATATCCGGTCTCCCCGGACCCTGCATTCACTATATCCGGTCTCCCCGGACCCTGCATTCATTATATCTGGTGTCCCTGGACCCTACATTCACTATATCTGGTCCCCCCGGACCCTGCATTCACTATATCCGGTCCCCCCGGACCCTGCATTCACTATATCTGCTCTCCCCGGACCCCTGCATTCACTATATCTGGTATCCCACAGTACACACAACACGGAAAATGCAATTATTTTAGTAAATATAAACTGCTAAATCCCTTTTCCCATCAGCAGTATATAGCAGTCTTGTGACATCTATCAGTGTCTAGCTGAGCACTGATTAAAACTTGTAGGAGGAGTTTTCATTCTCTGACTGTCCTATGAGGCTGCATAACCCCTGACCCTCTGTCTGGAGTCCAGTTTGTCCAGTTCAGTGCTGATTGGCTTTTGCTGATCACATGCGCCCTCTCAAAGCAAAAAAAACCCTCTTTAGCAATACACACTACACTGAGCATGTGAAGAGTGACTCCAAACCTCTGTTCTATCAGGAGATATTTAGGGGACACTAGAAGAAGGAGAGGATCAGAGAAAACAGGATCAAACATCCTGATGCAGGGCATCAATGTACATTGTAAGCTCCACAAGCAGGGCCCTCCTGTTCCTTCTTTACTGAAATGTATTGTAATTGTACTGTCTCCCTTCTATTGTAAAGCGCTGAGCAAACTGTTGGCGTTGAGGATGTTACCTATGGTGGTCTGCATGCTAATCCATCCTGCTTGGGAACAGAGGCGGACTGACCATTTGGGAACTCAGGTACTGCCCAAGGGCCGGGGGTCAGTAGGGGGCCCCATGAAATGCCCCTGGTACCTTTTAGAGGCTTTTTTGGGTGTGCTTTGACTGTGGGCAAGCACACAGGGGCCCCATGATCCCTATTGCCCGGGGGGCTCCATGAGTTGTCAGTCCGCCCCTGCTTGGGAACACCCACCCACCAAGGCATTTTGATGGTTGCATAACTCCTAAGAACCAGTCCACTGCTTTCATCGGGGCTGAGGGCTCTGGAGAGGAGTACTGAGGCAAGGTACTGTAATGTCTTCAGGAAGCTATATACAGCATCCTGCCGGCTCCTCCTACCAGCTGTGATCTGCCTGCATTGCATAGAGAAGCACAGAGACCCCAGTGATGATGTCACTAGGTATAACATTAGCAGATGTAATAAAAACAGGTTTCCTCAGTATGTCGATGAGGGGAGATGGAGGAACCAGGGAAGGTTAAATATAAACTTCAGCTTTAAGGGTTCCAGGTTGTACTCCGCAGTAATCAGCAGTGTAAACACAATCGTTATCTTTTATCTCTGCAGTGTGACGAGCTCCTGAGCAGCCAGGTCACCATGAAGGGTGAGGAGACCCGGCAGAGAAGGAAGGAGGGTCGTGGCAAAAACGGAGAGCGTTCCAAGCAAAGAGCAAAGCACAAGGCCAAGCACAACGAGAGTCGAGCCCCGGCCCGGGAGATGGTGGAAGAGAGCTGCCGGTCATTCCTGAGAAGCGCCCCCGTAGAGAGGAAGCCTCCTATGCCCAAACCCGGGGATGAGTCCTCATTTTCCATCGCCCTCCAGGTCCTGTTCCCGTACCTGCTGGCAGGACTGGGCATGGTCTTAGCTGGGATGGTATTGGACGTGGTGCAGGTAAGAACATTCTGAGGGTGTAGGAAATATCAGGGCTTGGGATGAATAGACACGGGATGGTTCCTCAATGGCCAAACTCTTGTACAAACATCTGAGAGCGCCCATCAAGGGAAGTCCAAATGTGACCTCCAGCCTTCCCTTCAGTCTTGCACAGTTGTACCGGCTCCTTTCATGGACTGACACGGCTTCCTCTGATTTCACTGCACACTGTGATCTTCTCACAATGTGCATTAGAAGGTGCAGCAAGTCAGATAGAACCTACCTCATTTCCTGGAAGGGGGACTGCCACCATCATTCAGCTCTTTCCTCTCCAGCCTGAATGGCCCTGGCCAGCCCCTTTCATTCATTGGATTTCAGCTTTTTCAATTATGGGGGTTCATCATCACATGTGGGTGTTACTTAGGGCAGTTTGTATGCAAATACTGCCTAGGAATACCCACTCCTCCAGGCTGACACCCACTCATCAAGACATTTTGATATTGATGTAACTGTTCCAGGGCCGGACTGACAACTCATGGGGTCCCCAGGCAATAGGGGTTCATGGAGCCCTTTGTGTCCTTGCCCAAACTCAAAAAAAGCCTATGAAAAAGGTACCAAGGGCATCTCATGGGGCCCCCTACTGACCCCGGGCCCTCGGGCAGTGCTCGAGTTTCCAAATGGTCAGTCCGCCCCTGAACTGTTCCCAACTGTTCCCAAGATACGCAAGAAGGGCGCAATATAAGTGAAGCAAATTATGTCATTTTCCTCCCCAGCCTGAATGGCCCTGGCCAGCCCCTTTCATTCATTGGATTTCAGCTTTTTCAATTATGGGGGTTCATTATCACATGTGGGTGTTACGTAAGGCAGTTTGTATGCAAATACTGCCTAGGAACGCCCACTCCTCCAGGCTGACACCCACTCATCAAGACATTTTGATACTGATGGAACTGTTCCAGGGGCGGACTGACAATTCATGGGGCCCCCAGGCAATAGGGGTTCATGGAGCCCCTGTGTCCTTGCCCAAACTCAAAAAAGCCTATGAGAAAAGGTACCAGGGGCATCTCATGGGGCCCCCTACTGACCCCGGGCCCTCGGGCAGTGCTCGAGTTTCCAAATGGTCAGTCCGCCCCTGAACTGTTCCCAAGATACACAAGAGGGCGCAATCTAAGTGCAGCAAATTATGTCATTTTCCTCCCCAGCCTGAATGGCCCTGGCCAGCCCCCTTTTATTCATTGGATTTCAGCTTTTTCAATTTTGGGGGTTCATCATCACATGTGGGTGTTACTTAGGGCAGATTGTATGCAAATACTGCCTAGGAACGCCCACTCCTCCAGGCTGACACCTACTCATCAAGACATCCTGATATTGATGTAACTGTTCCCAAGAGCCAACCCAGTGCATTCATCAGGGCTGCGTGCTTTTGAGGGGAGTACTGTGGACAGGAAGCTGTGATGTTGTCAGGAAGCTATGTACAGCACCCTGCTGGCTCCTCCCACCTGCTGTGTTCTGCCTGCATTTCATAGAGAAGCAGAGAGGCTTGATAATGATATAATTGGGGGAAAAATACATAATGTGATGAAATTGGAAGGGTTTTATTTTAAAAAAATCAATAGAATGTTGATGAGTGTATTTAGAATTTGTGCTGCCTTAGGCAACACAAAAGACCAGCCCACACACCATAGCCCCTGCTAACCCCTGAGCCCCCCACTTGGAAAGAGACTCACCATCACAATGGCTCCCTTCCCAGAGTCTCATGCCCACTCCCATGGCTCCCAGGAGAACGGCCCATGGCTCTCATGGCTCCACGGCCCAGGAGAACCAGCTTCCCTTCTTCCAGAAGACTGCACTCCCCTCACTCCGCCCTGCCGTTCAGGCCCTGTGCCCAGAAAAACCAACATCCCAAACCAACAGGACCAATGTCCTTTGATTTGTTTGTAGTGTGTTGCGCACAAGTTGTGCGTTTTGTTTGTTAAAATGACCTAGTGCAGCTCCTCAGCAGATAGAACGAATATCTGCAGTAACACATAGATACGCAACAGGGCGCAATCTAAGTGCAGCAAATTATGTCATTTTATTAGAAAAAAGCAAACTATCCACCCACATGTAACAGGATAAAAAGCACATGTTGTACGCTCTAGAGCTGTCATCAGTGGAATCAAGCAGGCTTGAGAAAGGCATTGCCGCCTCAAAACACTTAGCCACGCCCCCTCCCTGCCTCCCGGCGTCTGATGTCACAAGCTCTGTTTCCATGCCGTCAGATCGGCTTCTCTGCATTACAGTGCTTGGGTGTCGGTGGATGTGCTTTAATTTGGACTGCTTGGGATTCCATTGATGACAGGTCTAGAGCAATGGTGTCCAAACTGTGGCCCTGGGGCCAGCTGTGATCCTTTGCTTGCTTTAATCCTGCCCTTGGGACACTATTTCATGATACCAACAATAGGGCAAAATTCCTCCAGTGACACCAATGAAGGGGCACAATTTCTCCCAATGACATACAGCTGACGTCGGGACCTTTTATGCTCCCACTGGTCACAGTCCAGCCCCCCTGAAGTCTGAAGGAAAAGTAAACTGTCCCTTTGTTCAGAAAGTAATGAGACCCCTGCTCTAGAGCATACTACATGTGTTTTTATCCTGTTACATGTGAGTGGCTAATTTGCTTTTTACAAATAAAATGACATAATTTACTGCACTTAGAGCACGCCCTCTTTTGTCTCTTTTCTTCCTAATAAAGGGAGTTGTTGGTAAATCTTAAGACAGAACTCCAGGCACGTTGTTGGTAAATTTAAGACAGACGGCGATTTTTGCAGATTTTTAATAAAAAAATTTTACCTTTCTTTATGTGTATTACATTGCTGGATCTCCTAAGCCCCATGTACACAGGACGTTTCTGAACGATGGAAACTGACTGCTGGAAAATGTAGGTTAAAAAACGTCTGTTTATCCGCGTTTGCATAAAGCGTTTATGCGCATTTGCGTTTAGAAGCTTTTTTTTAAAGATAAGCGCAGGAGAATAACTGATTAAAAATTTACTTGTGAGCCAATAAGTTGTATAATAAACAGCTTCTATCAATAAGATCGCAGGCTATCTTGCTCACCCTCATAAATGTGAGTTATCAGTGCATACAAATGAAGAAATAATATAGATGCCGCGCTCTATCAATACCTATTACCTGGATATAGTATAAAAACTGTATTTACACTAAATATCTAATAGCTGCATGATCTCTTATGTGTAACCATACATGATTGTAATGCCAATCAATACCCAAATATGTGTTAATAGTGAATAAATGAATTAGGAAAAATATATATCAAAATTGGTGATATAAAAGAAAAAAAAAAAATAAAAAGTCTGTACAAAATTATTCAAATTTGTGTCCTTCGATTGATTAAATAAATAATCCAATTAATACATTGAAAAATATGAAAAAAATATGAAAAATGAATAAAAGGTGAGATTCCAAAATATTGTGCAAAAACACAAAACAAACTTGGTGCAGAGTTCAGCAAGGATGAAATATCTGTGTGCTATCCTTCCAATCAGCCTGAGGTGATGCAGGTGAAGGTTGCAGATAGAGGGCTACTATGTAAGCCTGAATGGTCATATGGATCTCTCCCTCCTCAGATCTTTCCTTGATCCAGCCCTTTAGACATTCCTCATACAGATCATGTAAATAGAGAAAAGTGCATAGTGCTTTATCGTTGATAAAAATAAACACTTTAATTTGTGCTCAATATGCACTCACATTGATTAAAAACAATCTGCGCTTTGTATAATAGCCGCTTAAAGCGGTGAAGACTAGCCTCTCGGGTGTGCTCTCATACACTATCAGTGCTCACCGTGTAAGGATGTGTGGTGATGTCACTGCCCCTCTCCACAGGGATGCCCAAATGCCCAGAATGCACTGAAAAGTGGTAAATTATTAACTATCTCAGACTGCTTCAGAGAAATACAGAGAGTAGAAGCAGAGACAGCAGTATGTGTTGAGATAATTAGGTGTGAGTTGCTCATTAACATTTCTTTTGTTTCCAAGGGTGGGAAAGGTGTCTGGTGGCAGGAGTCATTAAGGCCACCTGGCAGGGGGTCTTCATGAGGAATTTGAGGTGTGAATGATCATTAACATATCTTTGGTTTCCAAGGGTGGGAGAGGTCTGGGGTGTGAATTGGTCATTAACATATCTTTTGTTTCCAAGGGTGGGAGAGGTCTCTGAATGGTCATTAACATTTCTTTTGTTTCCAAGGGTGGGAAAGGTGTCTGGTGGAGGCAGTTTCCACCTGGCAGGGGGTCTTCATGGGAATTTGAGGTGTGAATGATCATTAACATATCTTTGGTTTCCAAGGGTGGGAGAGGTCTGAGGTGTCAATGGTCATTAACATATCTTTGTTTTCCAAGGGTGGGAGAGGTCTGAGGTGTGAATTGGTCATTAACATATCTTTGGTTTCCAAGGGTGGAAGAGGTCTGAGGTGTGAATTGGTCATTAACATATCTTTTGTTTCCAAGGGTGGGAGAGGTCTGAGGTGTGAATGGTCATTAATATATCTTTTGTTTCCAAGGGTGGGAGAGGTCTGAGGTGTGAATTGGTCATTAACATATCTTTTGTTTCCAAGGGTGGGAGAGGTCTGAGGTGTGAATTGGTCATTGCAATGTGTGACAAGCTTGGTAGGAACATCCCGTGTTCAGTGTTTTGTCCATCTGAGCACCTTGAAAACTCTGCATGCGTTTTTCATGATGAAAAAAGGCTCTGGACAGCATTGGGAACTGGAAGAGTTTAAAAAAAAAATTTCAAACGCAAACGCTTATAAACGCGATAAAATCAACTTCTGAATACAAGTTTGTTGCGTTAAAAAAAACGACTGTAAACTCAACTGCCTGTAAACCAATGTAAACGAAGATGTGTACACGGACACATAGGAAAACATTAGGGAGAGTTCAGGGGCTGCTGAAAAAACGCTGAACATCTCCTAAACGTGAGTTTATCAGCTGCAGTGTACATGAGCCCTAACAGTATGATAAAATCAG